TGCTGTAGGTGATCTGAAAGTCTGGTTTTGAGACTTATTTACTTGTTTTTTCATTTTGACTGGGGTGGGGGGCTGTTAGCGCCTACACGGATTACCTCCTCTGAACTGTGAGAGGTGGGACAGGGGCCTTGAGCAGTGGTAGGGATGGTGACCCAAAAGCCTTTCCTGTGGGCTGGGAGCAGCTGGAGGGATGGTGGCCTGGAAGCCCCTTCCTCTGGACCAGGAGCAGTGGGATGATGGCTCAGAAGCCCCTACCTCTGGGCCAGGAGCAGCGAGACTCAGTACCTTGTTCTGGTGGTCTGGTGTCCTCTGCGTCTTTGTAGTGTGGAACCAGGTGTCTGCCTGTCTGCAGCAGGCTGATTCGACCTGTTCTGTGTGACTCAGGGCCTTGGTAGGGCATGGGCAGACCTGCCTGTCTGTAGCGGGTTGATTAGGCATCTTCCGTGTGACTCAGGACCTTGGTAGGGCATGCACAGACCTCCTTGTCTGCAGCGGGTTGATTCAGCGTGTTCTGTTTGACTCAGGACCTAGGTAGGGCATGGGCAGACCTGCCTGTCTGCAGTGGGGTGATTAGGCATCTTCTGTGTGACTCAGGACCTCGGTAGGGCGTGCACAGACCTGCCTGTCTGCATTGGGCTGATTCGGCACGTTCTGTGCAACTCAGGACCTCGGTAGGGCATGGGCAGACCTGCCTGTCTCTGGATTTTGCTTCTTAATCCATTCTGCCAGTCTGTTTCTTTTGATTGGTGAATTGAGGCCTTAACATTGAGAGTTGTAATTGGTAGATATTGACTCATCCTTGTCATGATGTTTTACTGTTGTTGGCTCTTTTATTTCTTATTTGTTCCCCCTTTCTCTTTAGTTTTTTACCTTGCCTAGTGGCTTTCCTCTGTTGGGCCTCATGGAGTTGTGACCTTCATTGTCTTTTTCTAGGATATTGCTTAGAATTGTTTGGGGTGCTGATTTGGTGTTCATGAAATTTCTCAGGTGTTCTTTGTCTTGGAAGTATCTAATTTCCCCATCGATCTTGAAAGAAAATTTTGCAGGATACAACAGTCTAGGTTGGAAGTTATTTTCTTTTAGGGCTTGAAATACTTCACTCCAGGCTCTCCTTGATTTGAGGGTTTTTGTTGAAAAGTCTGCCATGATTCTGATGGGCTTTCCTTTGCAGGTGATTTGTTTCTTTTCTCTAACTGCCTGTAGGATTTTGTTCTTCTGTTGGGTTTCTGGGATCTTGACTATTATATGTCTATGTGTCAATTTGTTTTGATAATGGCTAGGTGGAGTTCTATATGTCTCAGGTATCTGTATGTCCAATTCTCCACCTCTGTCTGGGAAGTTTTCTACTATTAGTTCTGTGAACAGTTTTTTATGTCAATTGTACTTTCTCCTGTTTTTTCATGGACTCCTATCAGTCTTATGTTATTTTTCATTGCATCATCTAGCAGCTGCTGGATTGATTTCTCGTGGTCCCTTCCTATTTTGAAGAGATCTCTGTTTTCATGGTCCTTAATCCCAATCCTGTCCTCTATATCTGATATTCTATCTTCAGATTCTCTTAATCTGCTTTGCATGTTTTCAGTGGAGTTTTTAATCTCCCGAATATCTGTTTAAATCTGTTTCATGGATTCCATTTCTTTCTTATGTTGGACGATCATGGTTTCCATTTCTTTCTTGTGCTGGGGCATTCCTGGCTTCCAGCATGTTTCTGAGCTCATCTATTTTTTTAATCTGTTTTTGTTCTAGAGCCTCTAATCATGTTTTTCACTCTGCTCTCCATCTCTGTAGTTATCTGGGAAATTATTTCTGTTTTGCGTTTTTCTAGAGTCTCATTCATCTGTTTTGTTACTTCCTGTGCTATCAGTTCAGGGTGTCCAGGTAGTTGATTATCAGACTTTTCCACCTCGTTTCCCCCCAGCTGAGGTAAAGGAGTGATGGGTATGCAGATGGCACTGGAGTCTCTCTCTGGACCCTCTGTCTATGTGTGCTGGGATAGGGACAATGGCCTGAGCTTCCCTCCAGTTGATGTGCCTATCAGGGATTGAGCAGAAACAGGTTGAGGCTGGAGCCAGACAAAATTCCTCTGAAGCTGAGGTTCCAAATAGTAGCAAGAGAGAGTGGAATGCAGTCAGTTTCTATTTTGGCCAACTTGGGTTCTGCATTCTGGGGGCAGAGTGACAGCCTAGAGCCACAGGAGAGTTGCTGGGGTTGGCACTAGCCTATCTGTGTTTGGGAGAGAAGCACTAGATGCTCAAGAGTTCTTTCTTTGCTTTGTTAGTGACAGGCACTTGTGCACAGCACTAGGATGGTGGAAGTCATGCAGGCAACTGTCCTCAGTTCTTGGTCCCACTTGAAACCACATGGGACTGGCCGCATTCCTGATCCCAGTGTCACAGGGCAGCCTCCCTGAAATCCAGTCTTAAGAGTGGTGCCCAGAATTCCCTTCCACATTGCAACACTCATTCCTCACAACACTCAGTGGATTTGTGTCAGTTACTCAGAGCCAGTGCAGTGGAATGTGTGGCTTCCCAGAGACGGGAATAATCAGAGTGGTCTGATCCCTAAAACACTCTAAAATCAGACAACAGGCCCCCTTTCAAGATGGGCCCTGGCTACAGTACTCTGGAGATCCACTGGAAAATGAATTTCTTTTCCCAAGTCAGACTACTGCAAATTTCAGGCCTCTTATTTACTTAGGTTGTAAGCCTACAAGGGCTAAGAAACTTTCCATTAGCTAGGATTGCCAGTATCTGTGCTGATAGAATTTGTTGGAACTCTCACTTTTGCTTCTTGGGAGTGGAGACTCCTCTTCCTCCAGGTGGGGAGCCAGGGACATAGGTGATGTAATACTGTTTCTCTTGCTATCCTGTTGTTAGGGTTTATATCTAGACATCCCATTAAAGCCTCAAAACTTTTGGAATGTGATTGGATTATAGAACACAGCTTTCTTGCTGTAAGAAAGTAGAGCCTAGAAGACCTAGGTCACTGTGGGCATGACCTGGAAGGTTACATCTTACTTGCAGGCTTTTCCCTGACTCTGCTTTCTGGCAGACATAACATGTGCAGCTTCTCCTCTTTCGTGCCCCTTTACCATGCTGCTTTGCCTTGGAGCCAGCCAACTACGGACTAAAACCTCTATAAGCTGTAAGCCAAGATAAACTTTCCCTCCTTTAATTTGCAGGTGTTGGGTATTTGTTCCAGCAATGAGGAAAGTGATTAAGACACCTACAGGTCTCTGTATTTTAAAGGCTTCCATTTTTTTACTTTTGAATTCTAGTTTTCTCTCATAGTCATTTGTCTTAATATGCAGCTATACACCTTTGCTTTAGTTCTCTTTGGAAGAGCAGGTGAGTGTTCTGGCTTATCTTGCCACACTATGCAGTATTTTAAAAGGTAAGAACAATTATACATTTTGAACATTTTATACTTTTGTAATATTCCACTAATACAATACTGAGTGATTATACGAAATGTCTTATGAAAAGTGAGTCAGGAAAAAATTAGGGAAAATGATGACAATGATACAATTCTGATGTCTTTCTGAATCCAAGTCTCAGTAGTCAAGCAGAAATAAACCTAGGTGAGAATGCTACTTCCATATAGATATAAATAAATAAAGCAAGAAAATGAGAGTTCAGTTTTGCCAATTTTATTGAACCAATAAAATTCCTACTAATAACAATGAAATAAATTTCTGCAAGTATAAATGTGATACAGTTTAACAAAAACCCATTGTTCTGTACCTATAAATATTTTCAAAATGTCATAAAAAGTGCAGTTATGAATTGTTAACATGTTAATACACAATTCCTTTATTTCAAATGTGTGTGTCTTGATTAACAGTTCCTTCTGCATCTGTTCAAATAATATTACCCATCCCTCCAAAAAAAAAAGGCATTAAAGCACTAGAATATTACACATAAACTGATCCATTCAGGTCAGCTTTAGTCAGAATTGTAAAATCAGCAACATAAGAAAAATAAAACCTACTTATACTTACAAAAAGCTTCCATGGTTCTATAATCTCCTTAACTGCTGACTCATGTGGAGGGCATTAAGAGTTGAAAAGGCTTATATGGTTAACTACCTTAGACTATATCTACAGCAGGGTCTGGTTTGCCAGAACAAGTTTAAAGTGGCTGTTTATTAAGTTTGCTATTTTTAGAATTGAAACTATAAAGATAAGACTGCCATTTGACACTGAACTTGTGTGAATCCTAAATTGCATCAATGATCTATTTGATAAAGCTTATTCTAATTTAAAACTTTATAGAGTAAGAGACTGATATATAGAGCAGTCTTAAAGATCATGTCATCTGCCTTACATTAGTCAAAAGTCACGTGCTTTGTAAAAAAAGAAAAAAAATTACAGTAACAAAGCACAGGACTACAAAGGCAAAACATCACAGCTTCTGATTACTTTGAATAAAAAGTACCAACGAACACAAAGGATAATTCTGTATTAATACTGATGAATTAAAGAACTATAATAGACGTTTCACAGCATGCTACATATATTGCTCACAAGGATTAAATGATGTCTAAAATTGAAAGTCAAGAAGTTGGCAATCTGATTTCATGTGCAATTCAGCTACAAAGTCTTAATATATACATTCATTATGTAGCTGCCCTGCAAAATCAGGATTAAAAAAAAAGTTTTCAAGTTCAAATCCTATTTCATAAGTTGAAGGATACATCCAGTTCTTCCATGACCAGGAAAGTAATTTTTAGGTTTGAAGGAGCTAATCCAAGAGACAAGGCCACATTCCAAGGCGACCTGACAGGGTTCTTGTTTATCTGCTCAGGTTGCCTGTGGATGGCTTGTGGTTTGTTTTCAGTATCTATTTTATTTTGGGCTAAAAGAGTTATATGTGAAGAGAAAGAAGAAAGAGAAAATTGTACTTTCTCTCCAGAGAGGATATATGAAAGCAAAGAAAATATTTGTACTAGATACAGAGTTTGGATCACTTTCCTTGCTGATCAAGGGTACCGTTTAACTCAACTTTTATTTAAAAGAACCAGAGAGATTAGAAAAGGAAAAAACAGTCTCTCAGCTTTCCAAAGGAAAATTCTTGGCCACCCAATGGATACGTTTCCTTTAGCCTACCATTTGATCCTTTCTTATCAGACTTGGGGGAGCCAGTTGAAAATTTGTAAGACTGATTAATTTAAGAAACAGATGTGTAATTAGTCTCATTCTGAATCATAATGTATACACTTAACTAATCAGAATCTGAGAACAATATTTTAACACTAAAGACTGAAGATTCTTCCTCTGTAATATTCTTTCTGTAGAAATTATACATTCATTTTTAAGAGGTTAACTTGAGGGGTGCAAGAAAATAGATTGTTTTAGCAAAAATTTTTATACCAAAAATTATATTTATCATATTTAGACTTATTAATGTTTGATGATGTTCTAAGGACTATAAAATGGAGCATTTGTTCTAAAGGCTATATTATAGCAAGCACTGCATTCTTTCAAAGATTTTCACAAACATTCAAAAGAACCAGATACTCTCTTCTTCCTCTATAATTTTCTTTTTCTATACTTCATGGTGGTGCAGTCATAATTAGGTTAAAGCCAGAGTGAACATTTCATGATATGATTGAATAAATCTTTCAGCCTTCAAGTCTTATTTCTTAAGTAGGCTACTGGTTCACTTCTGGGCCTTTAAAGAGATATATTGGACATTGGTATCAGGTTAGGTTGCTCATGGCTAAGATAGGAAACATGCAAATACCACCAGAATTCATATTAATCTATACTTTTAACCAAGTGGTTCGCCTTCAAGTCAGAAAACCATCTATAGATAATCATGTCCTATGCTAGAAACCCGAGGCAGTTTAATCTCAAACAATGCTGAGTGCACACAGGCTGGTGAAGAAGAATTTGCATTTTTGTCTGTAATGGTATGATCTGGATATGTCTGAAGTGTAACAAGGGGAATAAAGACTACAAAGTCAATGTATTCTCTTTTCATTCCATAGAAGATACTTCCCTCCATAAGAACAAGGTATGGATGGGGGCTAGAGGTTTGGTCTAACCCAGGAAAGCCTAGTCAAACCCTTAGGTACCCAGTTTTGTGGTATTTTAATGGTGTTCTGAGATTCAGTCAGACCATCTAAACACCCTTATCAATGTCGTCTTACAACAAATGTGTCTCATGGCCCAAATACCACCAATAAAACAAATAACTGAAACATCATTCCATTTATATGCCAGAAATTTCCTGTTCCACTAAAGGGTTACAGGTCAATCTGGACTGCTAGAGAATTTTTACTTTACATTCAAATAACTTGGACTAACACCAGTATTCATTATCTAATATAGATCCAGGTTATGATGGCAATTTAATCACTTTAAAATCCTGCTAAATGCTAAATTCTGCATGGTAGAAATAGTTCAATTTCTGTATCATGTATAAATATAAAGATTCCTACTTTGATAGAAGGCAAAATCTTTTATGACTTATTTAAAATATGGAAGCAGTATTATTGAACAACAGAGAGTGAACCCATGAAAAGGCTGGATACTCTGAATTTATAGGCTATTTGGGGATGAGGTAGAGGAGAACACGATATTTTGGCAGTTGGGAAAAGAGTAAACACAATGGGGTGGACAAGATTACATTGACATTGCATAACATCTGACAGGGTATCTAGGGCAAAAGTCAGCCAAAATACAGATGGACGGTTGAGGGATTTAGAGGGAGTTGTGACAAAGCCATAATCTTCATGAATGGAGAAAACATAACTCAGAAAAGTAAATGCTGGTGACTATCAGCAGGTGGCTGGTGATGTTTAGTTTCGATTGTGAAAGGTGTTCAGACCAAGATAGGCTGAGGGAAGAGAAAGAGAGTGTACAGGTTGAGGCACTTGGAGGAAGAGAAAACAGGGTGGAAAGAGAGGACTAAATGCAGGTAGGAGCTCCCACAAGAGAAATGTTTTCTTTATATTAGGTGCATGATGCTGAGGAAAGCCACCATCTCAGCATTATGTTCCATATATTTTTTGAAAACGTTTCCTCCCTCACAGAGCTATCTTGACATATACCTCTATCTCTGTAACCCACCTCACCCCCAGCTATTTTTGTTCTAGGTCTCACCTGAGCAGATACTGCTAACTAAGCCAAATGAGCATCAAAATAAGCTCCACATACAGTGGTCATTTAAATTCTGTTGACTGAGATAAATACATTCATGCTACAGTACTGCTTTGAGGAGAGACTACTTAATTTGATTCTCAGTCTCCACAGAGATATAATAGGGAAACACAGTTTAGGATGATGGCCACTTAGAATAGATTCTGATTATACAAATTATGTAATTTAAAATTTGATCTGAACAGAGGAGCCACAGGTCTTTCAGTTTACTACTGAACTGTACTAAGAAAATAAATACTACTTGTACAGCATCATTTTTGCATACTTTTAACTCCATGCAAGACCATCTATTTGCATGAGACAAAAAGATCTACTAAGTAAAAAAGCAAAGGTTTCGCTATCCAGAGAAATGACTTCCAAAACACAACATAAGCAAAAACAGAAAAACAAAAAACAAATCTTCATTTTACTATCACAGTGCAAACCTTTTTATAACATGCACTGAAATTTCCCTTTTTTCCCTGATGAATTGTTTTTAGTTAAAAAGAGTCTTACCATCATACATGCATGCACCCTAAAAGTGGTGAAATATTTTACATACATATCTTTAATTGCTGTTAAATTTATTTTGCTGTGGAATAAAAATCTAAAATTTTGGGTTAAAAACCTTATAAAGTCAGAAAGGAAAACGTTGCTCTGAAATAATACTAATTAAACTTTAGAAGTATTAAAAATCTTTAGGAGACATTATAACACAAATAAAATAGGGGCTCTGGTTCAAGTTTTATATGATTTTTACATAAACCTTACATTTGGTTTTCTATTCTAAAAACAGTTCTGTGTTGCTTTGCCATTACTTGGGTTTAAAACCATAATATAAGGCCAAAGCCATACACCCAGATTCCATGTTAGCCATCTTTTATTTAAAGTACCCCAAGTGAGACAAATTCTTCCTGAGACTGAGACAACATACCTAGTTAAAAAAAAGATGAAGGAGTTTTGTCTCAAAAGCCTCTTTTCCCCTAATTCTCACAAGTCCACCTGAGGAAGCCTATTCTGAAGGGTTCAGTGAGGCACCTGCCTGGCTCCTCCTATAGTCCAGTGGGTTAAAGAACAGACTGAGTTTCACAAGGGAGGTTATTTTGATATTTCTTAAGGTGATCTGAGAAATTAAGAATTATCATCAAAGCTGGAAAATTTGAAATTCCAAAGTAAATAAGACATTATTCAAGCATATATTTCAGTGAATTATTAGTGATTTTAACACAATGAGGAAGGAATTAAAGAGTTCACATTCATGTGTGCTTTTTTCATGTATACTTGCACATTTAAGTTTGGCACAATGTGATCCCAAGGTGATAAGCATATAACCACATATTATACCAATTGAACCAGATATCTTTTAAAAAAAACATTACATTTTAATATAAAAAGCTACACTATAAATTACTATATAATAAATTCAATACTCTGAAAAAAAATACCACCCTGGCAAACTGTAATCAAATTTCAAGTTTGCACTGGATAGAGAGAATTGAAAACAAACTCATTGTGAAAAGGGATTCACAGCCTGGAACAAATGCTGCTGCATCTTACCTGGTGCATGAGCACCTTTAGAAGTCATGCTGGTTTACTGAGGCTTGTAAATACATTGTTTTATTTTGTTTTTAGTTCCTAGCCAACTTAATTTCCTGATTACTAAAGAGATGGATCAATGTTGAGCAAAAAGAAATTTTGCTAGGAAAGATATCTATTAAAGGCACTAATTATTACCATAACTCAAACTTTACTTACATTTCTGGGGGAAAAAATAAAAGAAGAAAAAGTGGCCATTTTAGTAACTTATACCTTGTTTCCCCTTTTGGTCTAAAGCTCATATGGTTTCTGTGAGAATTTCTCCTCCTATTCAATACATACAAATCATTTTATTTCATCCTGTAATACAGTTCACCTGCACAAAATGATAGAGCTATTGATTTAAAAGATTCTAATAAAAAATGCAAGAATAAAAGACATCCTCACCCTGAAAGTCCTAAAGTTAGGGAAATTAAATGGACTTTTATGTTTCCATCTATGTTCTGCCATTCTCTTCAAAACTTTCCTTGTAGTTAATACCTATCTATATAATGTGATATTGAAAAAATCAACATACGGTATATGCAATAAACAAAAAAGAGATCTGGCATGAGTTCTTCGAATCATCTCTTTAAATAAACCACCCTGTCCTCAAAAATATTATTAGTCATTTTTTTCCTCATGGAAGGTTTCAAATAAGATCCTTGAATCCAAAAACACAGAACTACTTTATGTTAATATGTTTACAGTCATTTTTGTTTTTCTATCTGAAACAAAATCTAAAGGAAAGCAACCTAATGTATTGTACTAGAGAAGGATGATAAATGGAAGGGGAAAATGATTTGACAAAACACTAGCCCATGATTATTTCACAAGAGAAAAAAAGTAAATCCTATAAAATAAATCTAGAAGAAATTTCTATGGCAACTATAATGGAAAAATTTAACTATATTACTTACTATGGAAAAATGGATATGCTTTAAAAAATTACCATATATGTGTAAAATTCAAGTCACCTTTAATTAACCAAAAAGTGTTTAAGCAGTACAGTTGTGTCCTACTGGATAGTTGTAAGCATCTCTTTAGGCACTTCACTGGTTCACTAACATAATACAAATTAAAGCTATAAACACATAATATTGTGCTCTCTGAAGATAGTCTAATCAAACAACATAAACCAATGCAAAACTGTGACTTTTTGGCTGCTTATTCCTCCCCTATGACTTGATACCTTTTTTCAACCAGTTGTCCAAAGAGATTTTTCTGGGGAAGGGAATGCTTTGGCATTATACAAAGAACATTATTCAACCCCAGTAAGGTAAAACAAAAAAAGCCTAGTGCAATAAAGAAATTTGAGTAAAATTTCTTTATGGCTCTGTTTAAAAGGACACTTCTGCAGTGATATGATAGGGAAAAAGTTTAGTTGAGTATTTTTTAGAACATATTGCACTCTTTTGTTGTTCAATCACATTAATGCATAGAAACACTATTTTTATCTTTGAATTTTAAACTGTTTAACCTATTGTAAGAAGAAAATAATGGAAAATAATTTCTAAAAGCCTAACAAAAAATATAGGCATATTAACCTTTCTTTGCTTATTGTAACACAGAAAAACTTATGAGAAAGGAAAAATGTGCAAAGAAAATTTTTGGTCAGTCTTGTGTGGGTACAAGTTTGTATGTGCTGATTGAATGAACTGTGAGCAGCACTGTGAGCACTGATTATTTAAGGAGACTGAGGATCGTTGTCAGTGATAGAAAGGATTGTGCATAATTCTACTTTTCATATATATATATATATCTGATATGGAAAACTGAACCTTCTTTTGTAAAATAGAAAGAAAATAGCTGAATTTGGTATTTCAGTAGCATGCTATAGAATTCATCATGATTAAGTTCACATTAAATTATGGACAATGGCTGTATCACATTTCACGTTGTCGCCAATAGCAGTTAAAAAAAAACTACAAACAAGAAAACACACAGTGCCTGACAAATAATCTCCTGGGGACACAACTTTGTGTCCAGTGAGCAGCTTGGTTCAACAGCGCATGCTTTTCCTTTACCAGATTTAGGACACAACATGAAAATTATAGAATGGCCAGATGAAGTCATTCTTTGCTAAATTACAATATCTGAAGAACAATCATGTGAGCAGATTGTAAGCGCTTTTCCTTATTTAAACCAAAAAGTAAAAAAAAAAAAATACACATATACATAAACTCCAAAACACTGAAGTTTAGCATTAACAACCACGTTCCAAAAATCCAACTATAAACAATGTAAAGTAGTGCTCCTCAGTATTATTTTTGCAATTGTTAGTAATGTTAAGCATCAAGAAAAAATGAAACACATCATTGCACATTACAGCGAGGGAAAAAAACAAAAACAAAAACAGCTAAACTCTGACACTAGAGAATTGAATAATTTTGATGCTATATCTCAAAGAGCTTCTGATGTAAATCATATGTGAAAAAGTCTTTACACATATATGACACTGTCCCTTGGTGATACTTCAGGTCAAATGCCGAGTTATGGCACGAAGAGCATAAAGTAGTTCAGCTTGCATCCGTGCTTCCATTAAAAGTAGATTAACATGAACCTAAAAATGAGAATGTTATCATATTAGTAACTATAGGAAAAATGTTTAAAATTTTTCATATATTAGACATTTACAAAAGTTTTTATGTGTACACAGACAATATATAAACATGCATGGCTGGGCATACTTATGCCTGTACATAATGGAATATGCAAACGTGTATTTGTAAAAAATGGCTGTGTAAGCAGTAAAAACAACCCTTAATGTCTATAAAATTCCCATATTGCATATATATTATGCAAAACCAATCAACCATTTAGATTATAAAACTAATGTTTTTTAGCTATTTTCCCACAAATTATGCTTCCTTCTAATTAAAGTATTATCTGGATAAAAATCAACCCTACTTTTTTTTTTTTAACAGCATATGTTTATTACATAGAAAGCTTTTAAAAAATGTCCTTGCATTTACTTGAAAAATACTAAAGTGAAATCTGATGCTTAGTGCAGTTTGTAATTAGTATCTAGTAGTAGTTAGCTATGCACGACTTCCTTAGAATCTTTTAGATAAAAGTGTGACGATGGGCTGGGGATTTAGCTCAGTGGTTTTGCTGCCTGCTGCATAAGCGCAAGGACCAGAGTTCGATCCCCGGTACCCAAAAAACCCCCCAAAATCAATAAAAGTGTGAAGAGTACTTCTAGGGATACTTCTCAGCTGACAGGTGAAAATACCCCAAAATTTTCAAAATTTACTACAAGAAATACTTATTTTGATATCTTTCTATCAGTTGAATATATTGTTAGATATACAAGGTATGACTGAAGAATACAGTGAATGTTTAAATTTAAAAACATTTATTATAGTAAAAGACACACTGCCCTCAATCCTCTTTGTTTGGAATATACTTCTATCATTCTTGCTCCTTTCTGAATCAGTCCTGGAAGTCCTCTTTGTGAGTGCCTTTAGTTGCACTATTGTGGCTGCCTCAATGTCCTGAATCAATTCAAAATGTTTATTAGGGTCATTTTGACTTTGGGAAAAAGCCAGAAGTCACATGGTACAGATCCAGTGAATAGGGTACATGAAAAAACATCATAATTTTTTATGAGCCTACCTCTACTGGATAGCATAGGCAGCAACATTCACTGTATATTTTGATCATGCCTTGTAAAGACACTCAGTAAAGCGTACTTTCAGAAACGCTTCAGAAACTGTCAAAAATGATGGAATAAGTGTGTTTGAGGTGAAGGAAAATATTCTGAGGGGGATTAATGGCAATATATCTTTTATTGTACTTCTGAAAATTTAAACATTCACTGTACATTTTGATTACTTTTTTTTTTTTTGGTACTGGAGATTGAACTTGGGTCCTTGCGCTTGCGCAGCAGGTGGCAAAACCACTGAGCTAAATCCCTGGCTTATATTCTCCTGATGAATAAAAAGAATTTCCAGATAGAATCTGAAAAAGAAAAACTGCTAACACATAAACATGGCATAAAGATCCATCAAGGAGAGATGCTGGAGATGAGACAGATACTTTCTGGTGTGATACTGGCTTGAAGACTTTAAAAAATATGGTACCAAAGTCATAACATTTTTGCCAAGGCCAGACAGCTAATTAGTGAATGTAAGGAGCTAGAAAGATTTTCTTACCCTCAAGTTTAGAAACTTAATAGTTAAAAGGTATAAGAAGGACTTAACTCTTAAAAGGTGTAAGAAGGACTCAACTCTTAACACTATGATGTTGGTAAAGATCCTTTAATTTAATACTAAATTATTAAATTGGGATGAAAAGCTATTGTTCTAATAGGTTAACGCTGGTGGCTAGGTAGTTTTAAATAATCTCTATATAGATATGCCTTTTGGGCCAAGATACAATGATACCTATCACAGTTTCTCAGTAGGTCTGGTTTTTTTTTGTACTGGGGATCGAACTTAGGACCTTGAACTTGTGAGGCAGGTGGTGGAACCACTGAACTAAATCCCTGGCCCAATAGGTCTGATTTTTAAGAATGGAATGACAGGATAATTTCCCAATGACTTTAAAGATAATCAGTTTTTAGATCTAATCTTTCAAAGACTGATTCTAAAATTTATTTTATACAGCATGTTGAACAAAGCATATAACCAAAATTTAGTTAATAGTTTATAAATCTGAATTAAAAAATTTTTAAACCTAGCTAATTATGCCACTAATTTATTAATACTGTCAGGCATCATTTTTCCTAATCAATACTTATTACACTGAACATGTGCCTATGGTATAATGCTTGGTCATGAAACTGTTACCTTTTCTGAGTGTTTGAACTGACGCCAGTAACTATCATACATGCGCTTTGTAGTTCTTTCAGGATAGCAGGTCACTGTCTTAATGTAAACCTTCAGGCTTCGTTCAAGTAACTGATTAACTTCTCCATAATCATAGTCATCATACCTATGAGCATGGTGACAACAGCTTTAGTATGACAAAATCAAAATTTTCAATTTCTAGACTTGTACCCAAGAGACATTTACTGTCTATTAATTTTATATCAAAAGTTCATTAAGTCATCTAACAATTATTTATGGTCTATTATGTACCATGCACTCTTGTAAGTACTGGGGTATGCTAGTAAAGAAAAAAAATCAATCTCTGGTCTCTTATAGCTTAAATTCTATTAGCATATAAAGGGAAAAATGAAAAAGATAAATCAGTAGTATGCAGGTGGTAGTAAGTGCTATGCAAAGAAAATGGATCTGCAGTCCACAGTCTGTAACTGAGTGTCTGACATTTGGGCAAATATCAAAAGGTAGTAAAGGAGACTTAAATTCTGTTAGTGTTTATTTAAAGGAGTAGCTATAATATGTATAGGTATTTTGTTTTTGTTTTGGTTTTTTTTTGGTACTGGGGATTGAACTTGGGACCTTGTGCTTGCGAGGCATGCGGTGGAACCACTGAGCTAAATCCCTGGCCCTAATATGTATATATATTTGAAAATGTAATGATTCTCTCATAATTCATTGTCTAGTATGCTCAGAGGGCACATGGCACAGTTATTTTGTACCATAAAACGGTCTGGGACCAGTCAGACTTCAGTTTGTCAGATTTTGGAATATTTGCATAGACTATTGGTTAAACATCACTAATTTGAAAATCCAAACACTGAAATGTTCCAAAATCCAAAGGTAAAAACTTAAGGATTTCAGACGATTTTGGATGTCAGGTTTTCAGATGTAGTGTTTCTTACAGAGAATGTTCCATCACTGGTTGACTGATCAAGAAATTTTGTGGTTTTTAGTTAAAAAGTTAAATACTTGCTTAACAAACTAAATTCTAATTTATCCCATAAGGGTTTTCTGATAATATATCAGAAAGGATACAGTATATAGTCAAGTTGAATATGTTCATAACTGCAAAATTCGTTTCTGCAAATGTCTCCACAAAAAAGCTTCCAATCTACCCAGCTCAAAAAAGTACATCTCCAAAAAGAGCTTTCTTGATTAGACCATTCAATTTCATTGCCTCATTTACTCACTGTCCTCTCAATGCTAATTTTCTAAATTTAGTAGCTGTTAATTTATATTGACTGATATGTTTCAGTATTCTTATGATGTGAGCTTATGTAACCTTTATCAGGACAAACTCTATTCTAGTTTTGCTTATGCCCTAATTACCATTCCTTCAAAAAAACTCTAATACCCAAACTAAACAAATCAGGATTTATTACAGTAATCTGAAAAATAAATACTTTAAAAAAACTATATTTTCCTAGGAAGGCTTTTTAAGTTTAGTCTGATTCTATTCTATCTCTAATGATTACTGATGCTTTCCCCCTTAGTAAATTATTACTACTGTGTTTATACATGTGCATCATTGTTAAGATTCAAATGAATAAAAATACCTCTCTATAAAATGAAATTAATTTTCAAAATCAAAAGTCCACATATAACATTTTCTCCCAGAATCAAATACTCCTAAATGGGATATATATAAGACTCATGTTAGAATTTTTGCTTAGAAATGTATACAATTGTTCGCACACCAAACATACCTGATCCCAAACATACAGTGAACATAGTTAAATAAAGCTCTGCGCAGCATAGTTGTGTCAACATCTTCATGGGTTGCCATAGTGTTATAGGTGAGGTTGTAGACCATCCGAAACTTCTCATCAAGAAGATGTCCAATGTCAGAATACAGCCTGTTCACCAGGGAGAACCCATGATTTTCCCAGGTATAGTCCTAAAAGAATAAAATGTATCCAACTGCAAAATGAACATTTTCCATTTGAACTGTTTTTATTAAATAAGACTACTGAAACAAGTCAGTAAGGATATTTGTAATTTAGTTTTAGGCTTGAAGCTTTGCTAAGGCTTTACCAAGTACTCTTCACATCAGTCTGTAGATTGAAGTGCTGGGATGTTTCTTCATAGGGTCCAGGGATTGGGTATGCTAGTGATAAAATATGGCCACCTTTTACAGTCAGATACTGTGATACACACAATACACCCTTATCTGAAAAGACACTAGAAAATATTGGAATACTCCTACGTCACTAAACTTAGTGACATGGACATTTAAGGGATCATCTGAAACAAGAATGAAAGTGTGTTTAATTCAAACACGTGCCCTCTTTAGGAGACCTCACATCACTACTGTGGTCACACTTTCTATGAGTGGGAGGGTAGTCCTTAAAAGCCTGTAACCTTATTATAAAATGTCTTTTTATTACAAATGTGACCGTATCATTTGATTGCCTCTCTGTTCCCTCAAAAAAATGGGATGAACATTATGCAACTAACTTATAATAATGCAGGTGACTAAAAGCAGACAGTAATTCTCTTTTGCCTTTTTAGGGGGAAAATGTTGAAATAATTATCCACTTAATGGGATAACAAATTTGACTGAAAACTAGGATAAATAAAAAGATTTACAGGTCCTATCATTTTATTTAGAAGTCAATTTATTTACATTTCAACAGTTAACAATTAAAACAACAGAATTCTCTAGTTTCTCTGAATTAAGGACATTTTATACCTGAGCTCGGAATGTTGGCAAATGCTCTTCTCCTCTTCTGGCAAAGTCTTCATACCCAAAACCAGGATCTTCAATGTATCGAGAGACATCAGATGTTACAATCATGTCATCTTCAAAATCTAAGAAAATTAGTGAAAGATCCATTATTAAGGATATTTTAACACAGTTAAGATAATAAAGCTGAACCTTTTCACCTTCTATGAAGTTTGGAAGTGATAATGCTGACTACATAGCTTAAATTCTCATGAAATATCTACTGCTGAAGTTCTGAATACAATTTCATTATCAAATATTGGGAATTAACATTTAACTGTAGTTATGTAGGCAAAGAACTGACAAAATACAAATTTCTAAATAGTAGCAAAAGAGCAGTATACTTATTTTACTAAGTTCTTTATTACATATAAAGAGAACATTTGTTGAGTACTTACTATATACCAGGTACTATTCTATATACTTATTACTGTATCTATTTTTTTTGTTTCGTTAAGTTACTACCACTAAGTTATCAATACTACTGTTGAATGTCAGTAAGAAATACAATGTGAATTAGCATAAAATGATGTGGAAAACTTCTAACCATTAAACTACCTAAATTGACCTGAAGCTTTGAAGTGGCTTTTAGTTCTCTAAGTTTCATGCTTATCCCTAGCCCAAACCCATAACCACTGTGTATTCTCCTCATACTTCAGCATTCTATTCAAGTGAACACAGTAACAATCACACCCCTTCCCTCTTTCCCCTCTTCTCCTTCTTTTGGTGGTGTTGGGGATTCAACCCAGGGCCTCACATGCCAGGCAAGTACTCTGCCATTGAGCTACAGTCCCAGCCCAAAATGGCATTTTCAGTGCATTCTCTCTTAACATAACTGTGTACACTTTCCTTAATTTTGTCCATTGCATAATAATCAACAGTAATGAAGCCAAAAAAATAAAATATAGCAGCAATCACTGAGGCTGCTATGAAAACCAGTTTTGTGAGTTACAAAGTAAATTTAACTAAGAAGTATGTCATAACTAAACTCTGTAAAAAAGAGTCTCTTTAGAAGTGAAATATTCCCCTGACACTATACAAATCAGGTTGTTTCACATGGCAAATATTGATAATGGTGTTGCCTATTATATTGCTGTTTCTTCTGTGTTTTATGATAGTTTTTGTTTTGCTCATGTACATTTCAGTTATGATATTGACTTTTAAACATTTTAAAATAATAAAAAGTGAGTAACCCAATAAAAGAATTGATCCTAGGAAAAATCTCTACTTATTTTAAAAGTAGGAGTAAATCAATACCTATTTTCTTAATATTTTTGTCTGTAAAAAGAGATATACAAAGGCCCCTCAATCTATTTATATTTTGCTTAAGTGTTTCCCAAAGCTCTATGTGGTAAAGGGTTGGACCCCAGAGTGGTGCTATTAGATGGTGGTAGAAACTTAAGAGGTGGGACCTAGAGGTGGGTCTTTAGGTTACCGGGGTGATGCCCTCAAAGGGGATCGTGGGACCCTGGTATCTTGTTTTAGTTTCTAGCCATGAGTTGAATGCTTCTGCTGTGCCACATGTTACCACCAGGATGTGCTACCACAGACCTAAAGTGATGGGGCAACTGATCATGGACTGAAATACTACAATTGAGGGGAAAAAATAACCCTTTTCACTTTTTAAGTTGATTATCTCAGGTATTTGTTAAAGAGTTACAGAAAACTTTAGAATACTTTATATAACCAGCAAATTTAGTTCTGGTGATAGTTAACAGTTAAAAAAAACCAATATAATGAAATGATTTATTTCCTTAAATGATTCACACATATTATGGTCTATTTTATTAAAATCAGTATATAATATTTGAATAGGACCCAAGACTTGCTAATCAAAATTCAATTTCAAAGGCGGAAGTGCCTATTCAAGGGTCCAAGAAAGTAGTGACTGAGATCCAAAATATATTTTCAATATTAAAAAAAACCTCAAGAAATATTTGTATCAAGCTCTAGTGATCTTAAAGCTCTTAAAAATTAATGTCTGAAAGCAAATGTATATTATTATGCTTAATAAAAATGTTTACCTTTTAAAATATTGGTTTACCAGAAGGTTCATCCTCAGTTCATTATTTACCTTCACCTCTACTTGTTTCTCTGGATTTTTATAATCATCAATTCTTTTGACTTTAGCTCCAAGTTATATGCTGATAACTTCCAAACCTTCACATTAAGCTTAAAACCCTCTCCTGGTCTCCTGACTGCTATGCCCTAGCAAGTCCAAGAGTATTCTGCAGGCTTGAAAGCAACATGGCCTCTCAGGCCTCCCCAGACTGACTCACAGCATCTGCATCTCAACAAGATTCCTAAGTGACTCACAAGCACATTAAGTTTGAGAAGCACTACACTAGTTATCTCTAGACTGGATGTTTTACAGATATCCTAACTCAACATGTCCAAAATATGATGGGTGACATGTTTCTTAATATTTGGATGGTCATTGCAACAAGGCTTTCATCTTCCTAACCAGTTTCCTCTTTATACTACTTACCTCATGATTTATGTCCTAAGGACATAAAACCCCTTGTTCCTCTCACAGCATCCTGCTTCCTTATTCCACTGTGCTTTTAAACAGCCCCTAAGATGTTGTTTATCATTATTTATTTATTTCTTACCAGAAATAAGAATGCCATAAAGGCAGAAATCACACCTTATTTAGCCTTAAAACTTTAATACCTACATCACATTGCTGAGACTAAATGGGGTACTCAATAAATGTTTGTAGAAGGAGTACTAAACCAATACCTAAAAATCTAAGTTTCTTTATTTGGGATTCCCCATTGAGTATAAATCTGATTTGTAGTGATAGTAGCCTTCATGGATTAAATAAATTAAAAGTTACCCAATTGTGTAGATAAAATCTTTTATTAAAGAAGATAATCAACATAAATTATAGGGCTGGGGATTTAGCTCAGTGGTTTCACCACCTGCTGTGCAAGCGCAAGGACCCGAGTTTGATCCCCAGTACCAAAAAAAAAAAATCATCAAAAAACCCCCCCAAAAAACCATAAATTATAAAAGGAGGTTCTTGTTCTTTCTGTAAAACTTCTGAGAACTACTGATCAATGCTATGTTTATATAGCCAAAATAATTTTCAGAATGAGAGATTGACTAGCTTAGTTTTAAGACAGAAATTTCTATTTTAAAAAAACACTGTATGGAGGATGACTTTTATTAAGTTTATGCTATTTTAGTAACATTTGAAATGTGGTATTCACTTTGTAGTTGTAATTGAAAAGGTTCCTTTCTATTTCAAAGTCTCTGAGTATTACAAAAAGTTTATTTTTAAGATTGGAGAAAAGAATCACAGCTTTTAATATAGAATGATTTCCTTCAAGAAAATAACCTAAATAATACATTTTTATAAAATTCCAAAGAAAAGCAAATCCAAGTGCAATGTAATTTTAGAACTAATCTGGAAAAGCTGCCAATCTGTGTAAGTCTAATCCTTCCCACATACCCCAACTTCTAAACGGGCAAAGATTATAAAGACCTTGATCTACAGAAACAAGATTTCACTTATCATTTTGATAAATCACAAAGTAGGATGAATTAAATACTCTTATCTAATTTTATAAGCAATTGATCAGCCTTAAATAAAATTTTATCTATGATAAAGGATGGACAACAAGCCTAAAAGTTTGCCTCAAGTGTACCTGAATGCAATGCATTACTCACATGTTTGTAATGTGGTATAAACAAACCTACTGTTCTGCAAGTCACATACAATTGTGTATATACATAATACCTGACAATGATAATAAATGGCAGCATTGGTTTATGTATTTACTATGCTTTTTGTTATTTTTCAATGTATTCCTTCCATTTATAAAAAAAGTTTACCATAGAAGATTATGCTGCCATGCTATGCTGGCATCAGCCCCATACAGCTTATGTGTGTACTGTGTCTCTTGTTTGCATTAAGAAGCCACATTAAGTGACTAACCTATACCATTTAGGTTTGTGTATGTGTACTCTATGATGTTCACAAGTGCATTTACCAGAACACACCTTCATTGTTCAATGATGCATGATTCAAAAAAGCACCAGTACAAGAGGAAAAAAGGTGGTATCAGGGTAAGACAAAGGATGAGAACTAAATACAAGGAGAATGGTAGCAGAATCATTTTTACATATTCACATGGAAAATACTAAAGATTGTTCTGTTAGGGTTCTATGAACAACTAAACAAGAAAGATACCTGAATGAGGAAATGCATGAAAAGTATCTCCAGAGACCACAAAAAGACTTTCTTTTTTCTCCTTTTCAAAACGAGTGGTCATTTCTTCCTGAGATGCTTCTTCATCTTCTCTTTCTTCTTGGAGCCTCTTCATCCTTTCCATTAAGGCTTCCAGCTCACTTAGAGAATCCACAATCTGGACTCACATAAGATAATGTTGGGGGTTAGTAATATTAAAAACTGATTCAATAAATACCTCTGTCTCTCAGTGTTACCCTGTTATTTACAATGATAAGTGGACAGTAACTGAGGTTCTCAGTGAGATGTTGGTCAAATGATATATCATTAGAATTAGATAAAAAAATTTTTTACAAATGTGACTAAAATAGGAAAATATATGAGACAGAAAGTAGGTAAGTGATTATTAGGGACCAAGGGTTGGGGAGAAGATGAGGTGGGGGGGAGAAGATGAGGTGGGAGTCAGAAGTGTGATATGACTACTACTTTGTTGTAGAGTTTCTTTTCTACAGAATATAATGCTCTCAAATTTACTGTGGTGATGTTGCACAGCTCTGTGATCATACTAAGAACAACTGGATTGTACACTTTAAATAGGTACACTGGATATGTGTATTACAGTAAAGCTGTTTTCTAAAAAAATTTTTAAGAGATTTTTACTAACTCCAAAGAGAAAAAGTTTATAAGCACATAGATAGCTAGATTGCTAGATCTTAAATCTAGAATTGTAACACCTGACATATTAAATTATAATTTACTAAAAAGTTATACAGCTTCATATTTTCTTTCTGCCCGCTTAAGATATACTTTCCATTAGTTATTCCAACATCTTAGAGACACAGAAACATTGTTTTGAGATTTGCTGTACAAAAGGTTCAACATTAAAAGGCATCAACTTTTAGTTTCTATGATTTGTAGTAATATCTATTTGTTTTAAAAGCCTCTTTAAGACAAATCAGAACTATAGATACAGGTTAAATTTTTACAGTAATAAAAATTATGTAAAATATTTCAAGTGTATAATATCCTATCTAGTCAGAAAATATATTCTCTATATACACTAAGAAGTTTAAGGAAAAATAATAAAATAGTTATGAAAACCAACCCCAAAGTTGTTGCCTGTAAGGGATGCATTTTCTATGTTGTTGTCATTAGCAAGATCACAAACGCAGAAATTGTTGACTGATATTATCCTGAATCCACTGGAGATTTCTGGATCTCTCTCTGGATTAATGCCACTGCCAAAAACAAAACTTGCCAAAGCATGATAATGTGCCAGTAGGACCACAGCATGAACTAGTTCAGGCAGAGACCAATTATTTTCTCCAGTTTTGACAAGTTTCTGAAATAAGAAAGCAAATGAGAATATATATAAAACCACCGAATGCTACAAAGTAGATTTGAGAAGAATGAACAATATAGCAAATTTCATATACAAATGTATAGTAATTAAATGCTTTAAAAATGTTTCACATATTAAATATACAGCTTTGGTCAAATAATGTTACATTAAAACTATCAAACCTAACAATATAATTATGTAAGTGGCTTCTTCCAAATCCCTTATTATACATGGATCTTCTGCTTCCAAAGAAGTTTCATAAATTATAATATTTTAATGATACTTCACAACATCAAACAACACTAAAGCTAGAAAGGACTTTAAAGATTTTCTAGCAAAGCCACTGATTTTAAGGTGCTTTGGAAATTATGTCCCACAAAATCGTATGAAGATGCAATTTAGTAAGTCAGCATTTAGTTATCCATTAGAAACCTTCTAATAAAGAACCTGCCAGAGATGACAAAAACTATAGAATACTACCTCACATTTGAATAAGAATTTTAAAAATTTCAAAGTACTTTCCATGTTATTTTACTCAGTCCTTCAGATGAATGATGTAATTTATCATAAGTAAAACAATCAATAATAGTAATTTTTTTCCTCCATTTTCTCTAAGGGTAAATTCTCTCAATAAATTCACCCAGGATTCATTCTCTCATATGCTCACTTACTTGCATGTTTTCTGTTTCTTTTGTGAGGTGTGTGGGTGGGTAGGGTCTCCTTTTCCTCTTTCCCTATCATTTGGTTCAACTGCTGTTAAAAACACTACTTTTTTTTGCTTTACTTTCTATTTTTCCACAATATACATGCACATATACACACACAAAACATAATTTAGCATATTTCCAAAAGCTCAAGGAAAAGGGGAAAAATAAAATTTCATCACACTAATACAACTTTTACATTTTAAATGGTTATATTATATAGTTATAATCATAGTACATCTACTTTTCTGCTTTTCAAACTTGTTATTTTTACATATTCACTTTTCATAAGCATCTACTCATCATTTTTTTAAGCATAGGCTTGTATTGTACAAGCCTTGTATTATATTGGATACACACAACTATTTATCCATTCCCATGCTAGTCATCAAATCGGTTCTCAATTAATACAATAAATTGCTTGTTCATGCTACAGCTTTTATTCATATTTGAGAAACATTTCCTAGTAGAAATTTTAAGGCAAAAGTATTAATATGATTTTTGATAATACTGGCAAAGAACTTTCCAAAAGGACTGGTAGAATTTACAATACCTTCACCAATCTTTGCAGGGTTATCATTAAAGTTGAAAAATAGCCAAAACTAATCTGTCACATTCTTTTCTACTTTTTAAACTCATTCTAATCTGATTTTTCCAACAAACTTCTGAAGTTAAATTCACTGAAGTTATCCATGACCTTCCAAATGGCCATGTCTCTTTCTTTTTAGTTCTTATCCTATTTGATCTCTGCAGACTTTACACTGTTCATTTTCTCTGTTTGAAAGTAATCTCCCCTGATGTTAACAACTCCTCCTTTTTTTTTAAAACCATTTCCTATCCTGAGATGGATCGTTCTCTGTCTCCCTCACTATTACCATACTATAATGCCAGCCCTCATTATTATTACTTGCCTTCAAAATGCTGGCTTATTGTATTCTATCTATAGTTTTCTTTCCTTGTACAGCACCTTAAGACCTGGATGGATGATGCATTCTTTCTACTTGACCTTTACTCATCCATAAATAACTATCTGATTTTATTTCTAATCCTCCCTTTACCTTGAGCTATAGACCTGTATTTCCTTTGGTAACTAGACTTCACCTTGTGGATGTCATAATCTTCTGTTCTCAGGTCTGTGCATGCTTCTATTATGAAGAAGAAAACCTTAGAGCCACCTCTTTCTCCATCCTCACAGCTTGCCAATTAATAAATCTTGCTTATTTATCTTCTGTATCAACTAAATAAGCATATATTACAGTTTGGCACAAAAATCTTTAATGATTCTTAATTCTGTATTACAGCACTCTCCAAGCTTTCTTGACTGTATACACATCCAAACAATAACAACTGGGGGGACCCAACCCCTAATATTAGGTAGTATATTTGTTAGTAAATTAGTATATACTTACAAAATAAGATTAAATATATATACTGTAATACTAATATGACATACACAAATAGAATAACTTAAAAGGATGACTTAAATATATAACACACATTTTCTAATATTTTGAAGGATTGTCTTATGTGTCTGAAGTACTGTAAGATAATTCTGGAGATCATAGCTTTCTGAGGATAAAATGTAAATTCTATAATATTCACTGGGTCATACAATATGGTTCCAATTCTTCCTATTTCCCATCCCCACCTATATAAGTATACCTACACTTCAATAACTGAAAGCTGTTAACATAACAGCTTTATGTTAACATAATTCATAAAAGAATAACAATGTTATTCTTTTAACATAACATTACATACACTCTTCTAGGAAATGCCCTACTCTACCTGAAAATTCCTATTCTTCAAGACCTAGCTCAAATGTTACTTCTTCTAAGAAGTCTTCTAATCCTATTCTTTTATTCATACACTACTACCATGCTATAATTATTTTCATTACCCCCTGTCTCTTGGCCCCTAGGCTCCAAGCACATCCAAGGACAAGATCTTTATCTTGACAGCCCACCAAAGTATCTGGCACAAAGTAATAAAATATAATATGAAACTAGAACATAAGCCTTAGGACAGTATTGTGCAGCACAAGATTTCCAGACAGACCATCAAAATCTAAGAGTACACAGATTGACATAAGCTATATTTGGTTAAATAATTGGCCAAAAAATAAAAATGCCAATAAAATTTAAAAAGACATTATCTATACATTAGATACAAAGATTTTAAATAACTAAGGCATTTAGTAATAAATAATTTAAATGAGGGCTGTTAGGCATTGAATAGTTACCATGTGCCAAGCATAGTACATTGGACCCTCGAGTTAAGACTGGCCTGAAATAGGAACAACTTGGGTTATGACTGGAATTTTAGTTTTAACTTATGACCAGTCTTGATTTATGACCTGAATTCCAGCCACTTGTGCTTCCAGATGGTCTCAGATACAGATATAACCCTTCAAGAGTTCTGGAAGGATCGTTACATTCCTGTGTGAATTAACTGAGAAATCCTGGAGCACTGTCTCAGGACACTGAGATCTGCCTGGAAGAAAGTGTAGCCTAAAATTATACAGGAGAGAGACTGAAGGCTGTGTAAAGGAGCCTGAGCCTTCAATTGACCCTGTGGTTGATGACACTGTCACTATAGCACAGTCTACAGGCTTGGAGGTAGACAGTGGTGATGTTGAAGAACTGGTGGAGGAACACTCAGGAACTGTCTACAGAGGAACTTCAGCAACTTCTGGCTGAGCAACAGAGAATGGCACCTGAGGAGCTTTTAAGGAGGGGGCAGTATCAACAATCAGTGTGGCAAAGTTCTTCTGAAATAAAGGACATCCTGAAAAAATGGACAGAGCTACAGACATTTGTAGAGAAGACCCACCTAGACAGAGAAGAAATCCAATTGCTGCATTCACGTACTTCATGACAATCTCATAACAGAACAGTGTTAAAGAAAAGATAGACAGCCTTAGACCAGTTTTTAGTTCTAAAAAGGTTGAGACCTAGTGAGCCAGACGCAGGTCCTAGTGGGCTACACACTCTCCCAAGGAGAGAAAGAACACCAGAGAGACCGATTCTCGATATTCTTATGCAAGGGTACTCTTCTTCCAAATAATAACCACCTTCTTTTTCCTCCTCCCTTCCTTCAAGCCAATGTCATCAACTTGAATGGTACAGTATGAAATTGTTGTTTCTGGTAAACTTGGTACATTTTATAACTTTTTGGTGAATACACTAGGAAAATAATTGGTGTTTCTGGTAAATTACGCACATTATACAACCACTTTTTATTATGAAAAGATTAGTTAAGGGACGCTTTGGGAGGCTTGGAATGCATTATAGGTATTTCCATTATTTCTTATGGGAACAACAGTCTAGACTTACAACCAACTTGAGTTATAACCAGCCCTCGTGAATGAATTGAGTTCATAAGTCAAGAGTCCACTGTACTAAGCAAACTGTATGATTACTTTCCCCTGAAGGCCTTTGATGGAAGCTCCTTTTGAAATGCAAAAGCTCTTAGTCACAAGGCTACTTCTCATCTAAGCTCTAGTTTCTAAAAGCATTTAAGCATTCACACACTAGTTAACAAACATTTTTTATTTGCAAAATCACTTTTTGTGAATCTTAAAATTATGAAATTTTCGAACTAGAAAGGAGTTCAAAACTTATTCGATCTAGACTCCTCACTTCACAAAGGGGGAAAGTGAGTCCTGTAGAAGTTAAAAGCACAAATTTAGAACAGAGACTACAAGCCAGGCGTCTTACTGATGCTAGGTAATTTCTTTGTTCTACCTGCTGTTTCAAACTAGGAACTTTTCTCACAGCTACTCATCAAATTGCTAATACAAGCTAACTAGTGATTATGTAAGAAAGGTATTTGTACTTAAATCCACTGACTTTCTAAATTTATCTTTGTTACACATATCAATATTTTCTAATTTTCAAGTTTCTAATATGCAAGTGTTTAAAATTAAGTCTTAAGAAAATACTTAACTCAGAATCATTAACATATTTCCTTTTTATTTCAAAGAAATAGTACCTGAATGTGCTCTTTCGTGATTAGCCAGGGACGGTGTGCTAGCAGCTTATTTATTTCATTAAGATTCTTCAGTCTTTGTGGTACATACTCCAAACCATTCAACCACTCAGCAATACCTCCAGTCTTTAAAAATTCATCCACATGCATGTTTATTAAGTAAGAACACTGATGTCTAGCTGCAGCCTAAAGCACAGAGAAATGAATTTATTAATAAAGTAATCACAGTAGAATGTCATTCCATTATTTATAAACAAATAATTTAGATGGAGTCAATTGCTTGTTCATTTGTTTGAGACAAGGTCTTGCTATACATAGCCCAGGCTGGTCTCAAACTTGCTATCATCCTGCCTCAGCCTCCTGAGAAGCTGGATTATAGTTGTACATGATAATGTCTGGCAACAATTTTTTATAATCAATCACTCTTTTCTTATAGAATCATCCTCCTTTGAAAATGTTCATCATGCACATTAAGGCCATACTCTAAGTAGGACACACCTGTGTAAATACTGAACTGTTTCTCTGGTGTGAGAAACTGAAAGTGTAAATGAGAACCAAAATGTATAATAGATAATGTGAAATAGGAAGAAGAGGTTCAAAGGGGAAGGGGAACTAGGGAGGTGGGGTGGGGGAAAGAAAAGAAAGGAAAGAAAAAATATAAGAAAAGAAGGAAAAATGGAAGCAAAGCTTTGTAAATAGGGAGGGTAAAAAGGGTAGAAGGGAGGGAAGGGAATGGGAAAAACAGAACCAAGATATATCATGTACAGGTACAAATCCCCAGTGATGAATGTGATCATAATGTATACTTGAAATGTATCAACAAACTTATGGAAAAAAAAAAGAAAATGTTCATCATACTGTTTCAATAATTCTGAATCATTACAGGACTAACAATAACTGTCACATAAAGGCAATTACTTCTTCATTCACAAATTGTTATGGATTAACTAGAGCCAACTTTCTAATTGTTTTAAGGAAATACATACTCATTTCATTGTGATAAATGTATACTGTATTCTATATAAAACACAGTAACACCTCATTAACTTGTATTCTAACAATTTAGAATTTACATTTATTTGTGCACTTCTCTTATCTCCTTTAAGATGACTGTGATACTAGTCACATATATATATATCCTCATTATCCTATCCTGATGGCACTGAAGCCTACTACATAGTCAGAATCAGCCTCAGTACAAACAATTTAGTGAATCCATGCAAAGCAGACTTTTGACTTCTCTTTTGTTTCCATGGCTGCTTCTCAGTAAAACAGTATCTTTTAATCCATTCTATTCTTTATATCTTGGCTTTCTTTTAGTTTGTAAAAGCATTCTAAAATGGCTTTTTGCATTATTATCATTAAAATTTTATGCTAAAATTATAGTCTTAGTCAAATTTAACATTTGATTAAACAAAATGCTGCTTTTTGTTGTTTTATAAAAGTTCAGTGAGAATATTAAAAAAACCCTACTCAAACCTGGTAAAAACGAATCTGCTAAGTCCTGGATAGCTCTGATATTCTGCCAGCCCAGTTGTACTCCTAGCCTCTCCGAATATGCAGCCCTTGTACTACATTCTTATTCTTTTTCTCTATTACCAGTCCAACTTTAGTACTGTTTCTTTCTCTTTTCTGCCTATCATCGCAATTTGTAATTCTCTGTCATCCCTACCACCTATCAATAGTATAACCAGTTAATCAGTTTGTAATAAGAACTATACTTAGTAGTATGACAATTCACTTAAGAATTTTTCTCTTATACAGATTCTCTGTAGTGCTGACCAATACTTTCCTCTTAGTCAAACTAGTGATTATCTTCCTATGATAGCTAAGGAAAATGTCACAGACAACTTGCATTTTTATTAATAATAAAAAGACATCAAGAACAAAAACAATTTGTGGGATATTGCTCTAGGCCCTATAAACATCTTTAATCATGATAGATTAAATACAGAAAATTATTTTACTAGAAATTAAATGAGAAACATTCAGCACAGTTGAGTGGTTTAAAATGTGTTCATGGGATTTGGCATTAAAAAAGGCCACAGGCTTCAATTCTTAAGTCAATGAAGTAATACCTGGTTAACACACACACGCGCGTGCACAATTTTGAAGGGAGAAAGAATAAGTGGAAGATGTTACATGAAAACAGAAAAAATAAGAAAATGAACACCTACCATTATCGCGATGTAGTGCCTGTGTGGTAGAGGAAGGGGACCATCCATGCGCAACATGTAAAACTGGCTCCGTAAGAAAGACTCCAGGTACTGAGTGTGTAAACTCATAACCTGTGTGATATTGTCCAGACGACCAGATGTGGAGTATTCTTCCACGAGAAAGTTTGTACGTTCATCCACTGTGTTTGCTTGGACAACCTTATAACCGAGAAACATAAAACAAAGTAGCTATTGTGCTGTGAACACATCTTTGATTTACATGAATTTTGCCATTATTGAAGCAAATGAATATTCATTTCATATTAACACTAAAATTATGGAGTTGCTTATACTAGTAACAGACATTTTTACAAAAGTACTATTCATTTTTGGCTCCGGTACTACAATTTATTAAACAACAAATGTTAGATTATCAAACATTAAACACATAATTATAAAACTGAAGAAAAGAAGCTCCCATCTGTTCTACCAGGCATATTAGGCAGATTTTTCAGAGCTGACATGCCTGGCCATTGTCACACCAGTTTGTAGTTAGGCAAAAGCAGCAGCATTTGATTACATACATTTATAATTTAATATCATCAATTTGTAAAGATAATCACATTGTTTTTAGACAAATATTTTCATTATCATTCTTTACTAGTTTTTGTTATAAAACATTTTATAAAAGCTTTCTGAAGTCTTTTTAGGGACACTAGAACATACGATAATCTGTAGAAAAGTGTTAATTGAAAAATTAATAAGAATACTAGAATATCATCATTCCTAATTTGAGCCTATCATATGAATTACTAAAAACAAGGTAAGTTAGAATGAATATCCTCCATTCTAGGAGATCAAAAGAGTTTTCTCAAAAATAATTTATTTATATGTAGCTTTATACACATTGACAGTTTAGTCATCACACCAAGAATTGGTTCTGAAGGTATTAAGAGCTTATTAACACCCTGCAGAAGGACCCAATTCTGGGGGTAGTTGATGGATGTGTAACACATAATTCTACTATTGTCTCACTATTTATTTGTATTTTAGAATTATACTTCTGGATTGAAGATGAATATATTTCTTATTTCATAGACTAAATATCCTAGATTAAATTGATACTGATGCACCTAGTTAATAGCAAAGTCTAGTTTAAAATTTAGATTCCCAAAAGTCTAAAGTAATGGTCTTTCTGAAAATCTATGCTGTCATCAAGAAACTCCATTCAATCTTCAGAATTGACTTCATAGGTTTTGTGTTCTGAAAAGTAATTATAAATTATAAAAAGGTATTACTGACTGAAGGAAATTTAATCTTGAAGAAAATATATTTGAAAAGTATAAATTGTGAAGGAATGTTAACTATGCTGGTGTAAAAAAAAACAGGTAATTTCACTTCACCTCATTATGGAGCCATATGTACTTTCATTTGCCCATATCCACCCCTTTTTTTTCAACTACAGGGACCAAGATGATAGTTACAATATAATAAAAGCCAGATAAATCAATAGAATTAGGGACAGAATATTTACTGTTTTTGATTTGGTTTCTCCAGCAGAAATTTCTTATGTCTAACTGGATACCTAAGATACATTAATAGACACATGATGCAGTAGACCCTGAAAGCCAGATTACCTTCAAATTTATACTGTTAAAGTGTGCTTTAGGAAGTCTTTTATATGTATAAGGCAATCACTCCACTAAAAGTCCCTGGACTATGAGGGAAATGGGAACCTACACAGTAGCTTTTCTAACACATGTCCACCACCAGATAAGCTGAGCTCTAACATTACTGTTACTCTGCATTTTCACTAATTAAGAACATCGCAGAGGGCCTAGGTTTAGCTCAGTGGAGCCAGCGCCTGCCTGGCAAGCGCAAGGTCCTGAGTTCGATCCCTGGTTCAGCAGAAAAAAAAAAAAATAGAAAGTCACAGAAAAATGTGATATTAAGATGAAAGAACTGCTGACTCTAGCAATGATCTAGTATTACTTTAATTCTATTAATCTCTTCTAAAACAATGCCTGGCACAATAGCCACTCTATACATCTTTGTTGACTAATTTCAGAACAATGAAAGACCAATCCTAGTGTTTTAAGATAAATGATGTCTATATAGTAAATGTATATATACTTGTATTAAGTAGGCATTAATAACTCCTTAAAGCCAGAAAAACTTCTCAATTAGTTGTTCTTAAAGTTTTCTTAGCCCACATCCGTCTAAGTGGAATCTGAGAAGGATGTGCTCACTGCTGTCATTTTTCATAGAGATATATTCCAACAAATTAAGTACAAATCTTGTTTTGATTGTCATTTCCTTTGTGTCATTTATAACCTTTCTTCCATTTAGTATGAGCTCAGTGTCACTGCACTGAGCTATATCCCCACCCCTTTTTATTTTGAGATGGTCATGCTAAGTTGCTAAATTGCTCAGGGTGGGTTTTACTTGGGCTCTTCCTGCCTTCCAAGTGTTGAGATTACAGGCATGCACAACAGTGCCCAGCTGGCATCATACTTTATGTACTTTAAGACAGATAAACTTACTTCCTTCTCTGGAATAAAGGCACTTGGTCCTCTTGTCAAGGGTTGAGATACTCTGATTCTTTTATCCTGTTTTTAAAAGGAAAGTTATACATTAATGATGACTTTCCAAGAAAAGTTAAATGAGGCACATTATTGCTAAGACACTAAAATAAGCAAGTAGAATAAATAGAACTATGTATAAACAAAGTAAGTTTTGGGTCCAGATCAAAGAAAGTCTATTGCCCATTTCATGGATGAGATAATGGAACAAACTCCTAACACAGTGCTGGTGCATGGTAAGGCTCCTGAAAATATCATTTCCCTCAGTAATATTCTGTATCACCATAAATTTTTACCAATACTTAACATGAATGAAAACCATTAATTTTTATAATAAAATAATCTGATAATACAGTAGTATACTGTTAGACATTAATTTTAAAGCTAAATGAAAGGTTAAACTGAAAAAAGGATTACATCAGCTTTCAAAAGCAATGGGTTTTTCTTAATAAAAGAGCAATAAGAGGGTTTTTTTTTGTACAGGGGATTGAACTCAGGACCTTAATGCTTGAGAGGCAGGTGGCGGCACCACTGAGCTAAATCCCCAGCCCAGCAATAAGAATATTAATAAAAGGTTCTTAAATGTTATAAAAAGTATAAAACAGCAAGGTAGAGATTAATTTAATAATACTGTACAGTAATTCTAATTGTTTCACTTGCTATTCTATTAGTATTAATCATTGTCAAATGATATGCCTGAATGCTAGATTATTTGTTTTAAAACTATTAAATTTTTAAAATTAAAAAATATTTTACCATTTTTATTTAAGCATCACTATATATAAACCATGAGCATTCCAGTTATAGAGTACCACAATTCTTCCCGACAGGTATATTTAGTAGCAGTGACAGTTAGAAGAAGGTTCTTATACTTTAAATCCCCAGCCAAGAGAAGAGATAGAGAAAATGGGCACTTGATTTTATATAATAAGAGTAATATTTTAACATATTGAAAAGGAAAGGCTTCTACAGCCATAAAATAAAATAAAATATGGACTATGCCATAATTTACAAAATTTATACAGACTGAGTAGGAAAACTGAGGAACACTGGAACACATGTCTATTGGAAAGGATGCATTAAGCTCTAGGTGCCACCCAACCCTCTTGAGGAAACTTCTAAGATGAGAAAATTAGCCAAAGTAGTTCCTTATCCGAAAATGGCAGTATCTTTTGCATATCTCTTCTCCTTAGTGTAGCTGATTAGACGAATATTCCAACCAGCAAAAATAGATGTTGGTATGCAGCCTGTGAGTACCCTGATGTATAAGTTCTGCCTACAAAGAGCTGAAAGTACTCAGCTGGATAGCAAGATTCTTTCAGGACTATGTACAAGAGTTATGTGAAAGTAATGCAATCTGACTGAAAGAGTGTATCAGTCTATGGCAGACTGGATACAAGGTAAGGAAAACAGACATGATCCCGACCTTCATGAGCCTAGCATAGGCTCTTGATCAATTTTTAGATAACTTTAAACTTATGTTTCACAAAGAACTAGTTATCTAGATCCTATTTTAAAGTGATGACAATTAGGTCTTAACCAACTGGTCAAGGATCCTAGAAGACTTCATGTGAAATAGATTAACTCAGAATTTCTAATATTGGTGTTTCTTGCCTATTTCAACATACTTTATATTTATCTGGAAAAAAGAATTTTAAAAAGATTAATAGATTTCTCCCCTTTGATTCCCTCTGTAAGTTACAGAAAATATAATTTCAAACACTCTCCATATAACTTAATGGAAAACAATTTCAAGTGATCATTTCAAGTGAAAAACGCATTAAAAAAACTGATTCTGAGGAAAAATTGTAGGTATGTGGAGAAAAATGTCTATAGGGAGATTTGTTTTAAAAAATTATGAGTTGATACATTTACTAACCAAATATACCATTAAATGTTTGAAATTGTTTTGACTACAAAAATATTTTCTGGAACAGGAGATTTTTAAATCTGAAATACATTTTCATTATAAATGGAATTATAAGCTACCACATTTAGATGAACATAACAACTCTTAGTTTTAACCAGTTGCTGAGAAATTGAAACAATTTCATTTGTGTCAATATGTATTTAGTTAGCAAACATAAATTTTTTGCAGTGTGATAGGTAGGCAAATGGCAGAAATGTACACAACTATAACCTATGATATACACCAGGGCAGATGCATACACAAAGTGATGTGGGGAGACATCATTTTAGCAATTATCATTTACTTAGTCATTTCCATTTAAGTTATGTACAGTTTTCACTGTTATAATGTGATGATGAACACTTATGTATTTATTTTTTTTGAGACAGGGTCTTATTATGTAATTCAGGCTGACCTTCAACTCACTATGTAGCCCAGGCTGGCCTCAAACTCACAGTGATCCTCCTGCCTCAGCCTTCTGAGTGCTGGGATTACAGGTGTGTGCCACCATGCCCAGCTGGTGATGGTCATCTTTGTATAGAGATTTGAAGCATATTTTTTGCCTGCCCTACTTTTCTTGTTGCTGAGACAAAATACCAGACATCCCAAGTTAAAAGAGGAAAGGTTTATTGTAGCTCACAATTTGTAGAGGTTTCAGCTCATAGTTCGCTGGCTTCAAAGCAGAGTAGCATGGTAGAGGGGCATCACAGAGGAAAAACAGTTCATGGCAGACAGAAGGTAGGAAGGCAGCAAAGCAACCAAGTAGCAAGGAAGCAGCAGCAGTGGCCTGCCTCTCCCTTTTATCCCTTCCAGGCTACCTGCCCTTTGGGTGGTGCCTCCTCCACCCAGAAGTATGCCAAACCAATCAGTGGACTGATTTAAAAATCACATACCCTTAATACCAGCATCACACACCCTAGATCCATCCACCTCTGAAAAGACTGCAAATTTACTGAGGTTTAGGTAATAAATATTTTTAAATTTCTTGTTGTATACTGCCAATATATTAACAAATGTTTTAATGCTTCATTAGCTGAAAAAATGTCCACTTAACCTCTAATTCCAAAAGTGAAAACTGACATCTAAAAATATGCTTGATACCTTCATTATATGCTAATTTGTAGTAATTGTTCTTAAGCAGAGATGTGGATCAGATCTGTGGTGTTTTTTTTTTTGGTACTGGGAATCGAACTCAGGACCTTGCACTTGCCAGGCAGGTGCGGTGCCACTGAGCTAAATCCCCGGCTCAGATCTGTGTTTTTAATAATACAGTTCTGGAAGTAATGTAGCATGTGGACCTGAGAGGAAATCCAGTTGGGAAGCTATAGTAATAGTCTGGGATGGTAAGAGTCCAGGTCAGAGGCCATGTGGCCTGCCTAAGGGAACTGTATTCACTGAACACACAAGAAAGTAATGTCATTTTAAAGTTATATTATCATTTATACTTTCTCAGTTGTATTTTTTAAATGGCATTACTTTTGAAATGGTCAGTCTGATTCCTACTTCTTTGTAAAGAATGACTTTTCTAGTGAGGACCCTACTATTGCCACAATTGGCTGTCTTGTATATTTATATAAAGGTAAAAAACAATTTTAAAATGACCAAAGCAGCTCATAAATTCTCTAAACTCATTTTACTACAGAAAAATTTTTGCCACCCACTTTCTATTGTGGTATGATTTTAGTAAGAGAAAACACAAAAGAAATAGTGCAGCACAAAATCTAAAAGATTTATATTAAAATCATGGGCTGAAATTCTAGTCAAACCATGATACCTTTCCTCAGCTTTTCTTTCAAATCCAAAATGCCTAAGGACTGGGTTCCACTTTGTTCATATGCTAGTGAACTTTTCTGAAGTCCATAGGCTTGTGTTGCCTAACACGAGTGTGTTGCGATCAGACTAAGCCATGACTCAGCATGGCTCAACAGGCATATGTGGCCACAGCTACTATACAGGACAGTACTAAGGTCTTAATCTACCACCGAAGAGTTCTACTGCACAGTGTTGCTCTAGGCGCATCTTTGAGCTTATTTTTTTGGGTCACATAATTAGATATTTTTATATTTTTTGAAACAGTAAATGGTTGCTCTGAAGAGTTATTAGCTTTCATGGTTACACCGACTCAATCCCAGAACCAAACATTTTTTGTAATTGCAAAAATGCACTCTTCCAAATCAAGAGTAAACATAGATAGGGCCAAATCAGGAGAGGAAAAAACAACCAGCCAGAAAATGCTTGTCTCAATTTCCGTTCATATTACAGTCTCCAGAAAATTATCAGACCTGTCTGCCTGCCTGTCTGCTTTTCTTTCTTTTCTTTTTCTCTTTTTCTTCCTTTCCTTTCCTTCCTTCTCTCTCCCTCCTTTCTCCCTCTCCCTCCCCTTTTCTATAAAACCACATGAGATACATACCTTCTTAAATAAGTGTGCAGTACACTATTGTTACCTGTAAGCACTATATCATACACAGATCTCTACAATTTTTTCATCTTGCATAACTAAAATTTTAAACCCACTGAATAGCAACAACCCATTTCCCCTTACCACAGCCTTTGGGAACCACCATTCTGCTTTATGCTTTTTATGTAAGCACACTCTTCACATCACAGCTGAGACTTCCAGCCTTCTCATTTCTGCACAACTAGGTGTACCTCTTTCCGGGCAGTTCTCCCCTTACTCAGCTTTTACACGAACCACTCAACCTACTCGTTCACTCACTTTTTACACTCTTCCTAGATGTTCGCACATTCCTTTCCTCATAAATATTCATTATTTAAAATGAGCATTGTCTTCCATGACTTTCATCTTTACACAAACAAAATGCCCCTGAAATAAGTGACACAATATTGGAAGAGGATGGTGGAGCAGGTGAGGGGAAATAAGGGCTTGAGATAAAAAAATGAGCACACCACGCAACTTCTGAAGCTTTCGTTTGTAGCCATGAGCCAGCTCTCCTCTGCCCTGTCTGGCTATGAGGCATTCTGCGATACCATCTGGATTCAATATTTGTACCTTGAAATTATATGTTAAACTAATCTTTTACTACACACCACCTGGTGCTCCCACTTTCCTCTATAGATTATAAAATCACCTCACACAGCAGTAGCCCTGGTTCAGACT